TTTATGACATTTATGTACTCTTAGAGGCTTGTAGACATATGTCGTGTACGTGAAAGATTGTATGGCCTTGTCGGCCTATGTTTTGAATTTATAAATGATGATGTTGGCCTATTAGGCCCGTATGTCACATGTATATGATGATGTAATAAGAAAGATAAGTTACATTGGTACTCGGTTGAGTATGGTACCGAGTGCCTGTCGCAGCCCATCGACTTGGGCTGTGACAAAAGTGGTATCGGAGCAGTTCTGTCCTAGGGAGTCTACAAGCCGTGTCTAGTAGAGTCTTGTTTATGGGTGTGTCGTGCACCACACTTATAAGCAGGAGGATACAGGGCATTAAGGATTGTCACTCTTTCTTCTTACTCTAGATCGTGTGGTAGAGCTCAGTTGTGAGAACTCAATTTCCTAAACTCTATCTTATTCGTAATAGAACGATGCCTACATCCAGAAAGACAATTGGTAAGAGATATAGCTGTGGAAGAGTTGAGTTAGAGGAACTCAATTTTTGCATCATGCTTATGATGGATAAATATGAGGTATTCAGTAGATCATGTGTACACTAAGACGTGTAAGTCTCTTGATAAGGAACCTTAAGGCAAGAGTATTTATCCACCTTTATGGTGAAAGACAATGAGAGATTCAGAAGATAAATACAAGTTTCAAGAAGTAAAGGAAGCAAGATGAAAAAAGGGTACGAGGTATCCTGTTAATAAAGATTATCATTATTTACCATTCAGGAAGGGAGATATAAGCATTTTGAGTTACCTTCAACTGTGACAAATGTATGAACAATCGGCCACATCGATCTCAGTTATGCCCTATGGGAGCTAACAGACATAGTTTAAGAGAAGGACGAGTTATCAGGATCCGACTGGGGATAGAGTAACCCAAAATAGTTGATGGATTGGTAGAGTTAGTTGACATTTCCGAAGGATAGAGCAAACGTGGTAATGGAACTCCTTGTGAGACACCTCGATGGTGCACCCTAAAATAGTACAACTAGATATGAGTACTACAAAGATAAGCACTGGAAGCCTGAAAGGGATAAATATTACCTTAGTGTGGCTCCCATCCCTGGTAGAAAGAGAATGTTAGGCAATTCGAATAGCCAATCGATGAAGCAAGAGGGGCTAAAAGCAAAAGAATGTTTTGTTCGAGTTTTTATAATAAAGTGATAGACATAAATGTTAGCACAAAAATAAGAAGAGAGTTAATGGAGCAGTATGAGTAAAATGTGGTACATGGATGACAATGGTAGATCAAAAAAGTGATAGTATTACAGAGTCTATAGTCAAGTGAAGGGAAAAACGAGAGATGACAGGCCTTGAGACAACAAAAGAGTATAGGCAATAAAGTCATATCCTCACTTCGAAAAATAAGTTCGTGACTCCAACGCAACTACCGGAAGGAAAAGTTAGACCCCAGAATAATAGAAATCAGTATGAGCTGGTGAACAAGATAAACTAAACATGAATTAGGGACTGAGTGACTTGATAATAGTCAGCATCATGATAATTTCAGATGTGTGTTCCGACGATAATAGAATGGACAACAGAAGACGATTCATGAGAAATTCAGAAAATGGTCATTCAGGAAGACGCTTCCCTAAAGCAAGCAACATGAGCAAAGTTAAGCTTAAGGGATTGTATGTGCCAGTTGCACTAAGTGTCACCATTGCGAGTAAGCAAATTTGTTATTCTTGGTACACAGGATTGCCGCAAGGCGAGTAAGGGTCATTGATGTTGTGAAACGATGCCAAAGATGAAGAGGTAAAACATCTATAGGTAGATCCTCGTGGCTTCAGCTCTTAGTACTCCCCTATAGGGGGAATATGGAGTGATGTGGCATTAAATTGGAATTAAGTTGTTCTAGTGACTAAGGAATGGTAAAGGAAGAATGCGATAAAAAAGAGAGAGGAATGAGATGGCACTTATCCAGAATACTACGATATGCTACGATTCCAGAATACTGTGTAAGCACGTCGCCAAGGAGAGGAAGTAAGGGTTCCTACCCGAGCAGTTATTAATAAATAAGGAGCCAGTGCGAGACGTAAGTTAAGGCAAAGGAAATAACCCAAGAAAGATTACGCGGAATATTGAGATGAGAATGAGCCACCGAGTAGTTAGTAATTGATTAGGAAGAGCCTAGTTATGGCTAAACAGGAGGTTACAGGGGAGTCAGAAGATCGTGTAAGATAATCATAGTAAAACCCAATATAATGAATTCATCCTCGCAGTTATGACATCGTCATCATTGAGAAATATTTAGATAGGAGTTGGGGTAGTTAAAGGTACCATATGAGTGTTACGGAGAAAAAAGAGAGTGCCACTGGGAAGTCAGTCAAAATATCAAGTTCAGAAGCAACCCTACAAGAACAAGGAGGTGGAAGTAAGTAACTATGGATAATTATAGGAAAAGAAGGACATCAAAAGGTCCATCAAGTATACAATGTAATAAGCTCACAGCTTTACAAAAGTCAGAGGATCCTCCCTAAATACTACAATGAAAGACTAGTTGAGGAAGTAAGGAAGAAGGCTTCAACCTAAGCTCAGTAACCTAAGGAGGAAATGGTTGTGTAACTATAGTCTCACTACAAAATTGTATGCACTCCAAAAGAAAGTGGCACCTACCATGGCTAATGAGCGGGGAGTAAAACCAAAAGTAATATTCGAGACCATATGAGTTGCACAAAAAAGTTTCGGCATGCGTGAGAACTCAGATAAGCTAAGTATGCACGCAAAAAGGGGGCAAAAAGACCAG